TTCTGTGATTCTGTGATTCTGTGATTCAAGAGATGTAAAATTTTCTCGGGGGGAAAGAATAAAAAAAATAAAAGGAGAAGAAAAAAAAAATCAGGATTAGAATAACATGGTTATTTCAATACTGACTTGAAATTCTCAAGTCAAAGAGAACTTTCAGTTTGCTCGCCAATTTCAGTATCTTAAATCAGTTACTCTACTTTCTCAAAAAACCCCCACCAAACCAAAACAGCCAAAAACAAAACAACATCGCCAACAGAGAGATAAGTAGATGATACGTGGAGAAATGCAAATAATTATAAGTTTATAACATGGAGGATTTAAAACTCATATATGATTTCATAAAGCTAATACTAATTCTTTCCAAGACGACTTTTTGGAAGAAATGGACAACTCACTAATCATCTCTTGCAGCAGTCCTATTAAAATAGTTTGTATCTTTAAAGCTACTGTATCTCTGCAAATAAACCAGCTCAAGAAATACACCATAATGTTTATTTAACACTTAAAATTGCATTTCCACTATCACAATCTTACAGAGCAAGTGCAGCTGACATCAGCTTAAGACTTAACTTCAATCACTGCTGCAGTTACAGTTAGTCAATTGTCTATCGAGCATGAACTAGAGCACAGATTTTGAATTACAGTGACACTGTGTGAAATGTTCCCATTTTGTCAGGAAATGCAGAAAGACTTGCCTTCTGTTGGATTAGCTGGCTGATCTTTGTTTATGGCTGTCTGAATGTTGCTGAAAGAGGCTGGGGGGCCGCACTGCTGCAACACTCCGATGGCATTACAGAACTGGTCTGCGAGCTGCAAGCAATGAGGAGATCGTTACATTTATTTCACCACTAAAACTGCTTTAATTTTATGTTGCTCCCCACGCAGCAGCCCACCCGCACCCTGGCATTAGGCGGGAGCGCACCCCTGCAGCCCAGCACGATGCCCCCCATATCTGGGGGCTGCCACCACTGGGGCGGCGGACAAGGGAACACCAGGGGCGGGGAGAGGGACTGCACCCCTCCCACCCCCCACGCAACGGCCAGCAACAGCAGAGACCGCGGAGGCAGGAGGGAACGTAACCCCGCGCCAGCCTTCCCTCCTTGCCGGTAAGAAGAACGACAGACACCGAGGGAGACAAAAGAGCAGCGCTCGTCTCACCGAGTTCACCGCGTCCTGCAGCTGGGTTAACCGATCCGCCATAGCGCCGCCACCGCCGCCCACCTGACCGGAGACAGAACCCAGAGCAGCCAATACGGCGCGGGGAGAAGGCTGGGAGCGCCTTCCGGTGGGGAAGGGCGGGCCTGGCGCGCCCCCTGCAGGCCAGGAAGGAGGACCGCTCCCAGGTCCGGTCAGGCGACGGAGGCCGTGGGGGAGCCGTGGGGGATCCACGGGCCGTCCCGGGCCGTTTCAGAGCCGCAGGAAAACACTTTCTGCTTTTTCGCCTGCGGCTGGTGGAA